CCCTCCAACGTCCGCCGTCCCCGCTGGTGCAACTTCAGACATGTTAGTAACCCAGTAGCTAGATTGTTGCCGATGTTCCCTTTAGATCCTTGTCGGCCCTCAATAGTCCTGACTCGTTTCTCTATATGGAGGGGCCTTGTCTTGGTGAGTTGCTTACAAACAAAGATAATCAGAGGTGAGGGAGGAAAGGGATGGTGCTACTATATGATGAAACAACATAAATTGGCGCTCTAGGATAGGAGGGGTTAAAGGAATGAAACTTGCTAAGTTTGAGGTTGTTCCAGAGGCGCCAAAGGGAGTCACAAAGAAGATTATTGAAGGCTTAGAAAAGGGCTAAGGAACCACAGAAGTGTACAGGAAGGAGGTGTTAGTGTGATTGAGGGGAAAGTATCTGACTATAGGCCACAGGTCAGTCTGTCTTCGCTATGTACAACTATGTAGATGGGAATTACAAGGGGAGCGCAGGGATCCCCTTGCTTAAAATGAAATTCTTGGAAGGTCAGAGATTAGTGCAACGTGGTAAGTCAGAAGATGGACTGGGAACAAAGAAGTTTCCTGCAGTTGATGGTCTCACGACCACGTGCTCCCATACTCCTAGTAAATCCCGCTCATCAATCGCACACTAAAAACGGAGGGAAAAAAGGATACAAATGAGTCCAAATGGGCGCCATTCATCACAGACGTATTGGCCCCGGACTGCCACAAACTTGGCTCATTTCATGGAGATAGACACAGGGCTAGGACCAGAGCCTGCTCGTTTCATCTCCATGCCAGAGAAAATCCAGAAGAAGAGGAAGTAGTTTCTCAATTGCGGCGTGATTCTTCTTCCTGAGGAGCGTCACATTGAGTGGTCTATTGTCGTTATCCCTCAAGGGCAAGAAGTACCTCCATCCCCCGTGCAAAGGGACCTCCATCAGCCTTTTGATAGCATTGTTGACCATTCAAAGCCGCCAGGTGTTGGCTGCGCCCACTCAGATCCTCTCCTTTGGGAATTTTGTCTACCAGGCTGATTGCTCAACAGAGCGCCTCTGTGTTGAGCCCGTTGACCATCCCCTTTGATCCAGCCTCTTGAGCGCTTCGAGGTTTAGTTAGCCATACTGTTAATGCCCTTGTTAGACCATAGGGGCAGTCTGCAAGTCTGCAGCCTTCGCGGAGAGAGCTGGGTTGTTGCAGATGTCGAGTGCATTGAGACCGCCCTTCAGCCTTACCTATGCTCGCCGCTTGTTGTCCTCGTCTCAGACCGTACAGATCTCTCCCTTAAAAAGGACCTTGAACTTCTATTGCATCAGGGGGCAGACATACACAAGGCTCATGCTTGGCCAAGGGACGTAGAGGACTTTAGTTACCGTGACGGCATCATTGCCCCCGTCAAGTTGGATGAGATGGATTAGTGCGGTGCCGCCCCCTATTGCTCAGAGGAACGTGCCGTTGCCTACAATGATCTCATGGTGGCCAGCTAGAGGGGTGACGTTGGTGAGGTCAGATCCATTCTGATAATCTGCTCTCAAGCGCCTGAATCTGTCGCTGAAGGCTTGATGAACCCTGGCAGCCCCGCAACGAATTTTGAGTCACAACCCCTGTTGGGTTTGATCCCAATCATTTTGTTGTGAATAACTTTTACGGCAATCAGTGAATAAGTTACAACCGTTTACTTTGCAACAATCTCACGCACCTGGCAGGCCAAGGTGCAGGTCAACACCCCATCTGCAACGGCTCCATTACCTGTTTTGTTGCCTACACCCCAGCCACCACCTTCTGAGCCTTTACCCTGCTCCTGCTGGCCCTCGTCTTCTTCGTTCTTCGCATCTGCACCTCCGCCTTTCCTGTAGCATTGGTACCTCCAGTCACCCGTCTTCCTATAGTTGTCACACTTACCCTCCTTCCCGCCGGCTCTTCCTGCTTGCTTGCGGCTCACCTGGTCTCCCCCCTGCCAGACCAGTTCTACGTGCTTTGCGCGCTCGTAGCAGGCAGGGCGGCTTCGTTTGCCCTTGAGGCTCCTATTGAAAACAAGTTATCTTCCTTCAGGATCTTCGCCAGCAGCTCTGAAACGATCAGCTTGTTGTTTTGCTCATGGATGAATGGGAAGGTCCTCCATGTGGCCATCAGGAGAGAGCAGAGAAGAACCCAGACCTTATCGTGGTCTGTAATCTGAGCGCGTGCACCTGTGAGCTTGCGCACAAGCCCCTGGAAGAGGTTACTGTTTCCTTGGTTGTCCTGCCCTCCATGATCAGCGTAGAGAAGTTGAACCTCAGCCCATTAGCCTGTGCCTTCGCAGTGGCAGCGAGGGCCCTGCTCAAGACGACCCTAGCTTCTTCAACATCTTTGTATGGCAGTTGAGCCAGTTCTTATATGCTTTGGTGTCCTTGATGTCTTCGAGTTTGAGCCGTGGGTTGTCCGCGTCCGGGTACCCAAGCCATTTCAAGAGAAAGCATAGGATCTGCCGTAGTCTTTTACGTTGATGATCTTCTGATGGTCCGCTTGTCTTGAACTTCTATGTCGGTGGGAGCTCGGTAGGATACAATGGCTGTGTTGGAATAGATGGAGGAGTCAGGTTGGGTGAAGGGCTTCCAAATGTTGATGTGGAAGTACAGCCAGACCTGGTGGATGCTGCTAGTTGATATGGCAAGCTTGTAGAGGTCAGAAGTTGGTCCAGGGCTGATATTCTTGAAGGGGCCGTCCCAGTGAGCAATGAGCTTTTCCAGTATTGAGGTTTTGGGAAGAATAAGAATGCAGGTGATGTTGAGGAGGACTTGGTCTCCCGTTTCTTAGGAGATTGGCTTGTGGTTCTGGTAAGATGAGCTGGGGTTTGGATCTTGCGCTTGTCAGAGGGCTACCCCTATGATAGCATAGTCATCATTGTGTTCTTGGGCGAATCAGAGCATCTGCTTTCTAGTATTGGATTTGCCAACGGCCGGGACTCCGTTTTTAGGAGGTCCAAATTCGAGAGAGCTGGGGACGTAGCCTTGTTTGGTGATGAACAGGGGTGGGTTGAGGTCACCACTAGGTGTGGTGTTGATGTTGAGTGCAGGAGTATTGACCAGTGGTAACCGGTTCCGTCGAGGTAAGGCTTCAGAACCTTTTCCACTGGCTGGATCATTGGTTGGACCCACCTGACCACGATCTGTGGGAGGCATGCCGTGGTAATGTTGTTCTGGATGCTTTTGAGTTTGGTGAAGGCTTGCTAGAAAGCGGACCTGACCTTGGGTTTGTTGTTAAAACCCGAGGGCACCAACCTGGACATATAACTTTGAAGTGAAGGGAACTGCCAGGGTTTGCTCTGTCCATCCTGAGTTGGTTGGGACCAGGGTGACCCGGAGGGAGAAGTTGTCAACTAAGCTAAGGCAGCAGTTGTATAGCTGGTTAAGTGGCGCAAATGAAACTGGCTTTACAAAGGTTTGGAATCTGATCATATCCCAGCAGGTATGAGGAAGCAGGAGGGGATGGGGGAAGCTCTAGCTTTGCTTGAGACCTGTAAAGCCTTGATCATCCGGACCACTGGTGATGTACTGCTTGATCTCACAGAAAATGGATGCCCGGCAATACTTCCTGACAATTGTGTTGATGGTCTTTGTCAGACCCTGGTCATGGCCATCGGGGAGTGGTTCTTGGTACCGTTCCATGATGGGACTTGGCATGACCTCCGGAAAGTAGCATGGCCCATAGTAGCAGAGATAGCCGATGTTGAAACGATCTTTAGCATGGCCGCTTGGCTCAGAGGTTTCACCTTCGGTGCTAGAAAGTTGAGCGTTGATATCAAGGGCATAATCGTCGATGGTCACATAATGGAGCCATGCTGCTGCTTCTTCCAGGTTGATGGAGTTGCCAGTTAGATAGGCCAATTGATCACGCCACAGGATCTGAGATGACTATGATGCTAACGAGGATCTTGATTGGTTCTCGTCGTTCGGCGAACTGGGGGAAGTATTGAGGCGCGCAAGAGAGAAGGTCTGGCATGGTGCTGAACCAACATGGCAAGTATTTGATGGCAAAGTCATATTCCTCGAGTTCTTTGACCCAACCAGCTTATCGGCAGCTTATTTCGAGGTGACTGCTCAGATAGATAAAGGACTTGTGGTCTGTGAAAGCTCAGAAGTGAATGATGATGAGTATGTGGCAATTTGTATTCAGAAGGTGGACGAGGGCGAGCTGCTCTGCGTCCGTGTTTCGTGTAGTTCAGCTCTGCCGACGTCATCTGCTTGCTGAAGAACGAAATAGGTCAAAGTTGAGTGAGGCTGTTCAGGCCCCTGACAGTGGTGGAAGGCGGAGTCAGAATCAGGTCATTGTCACTGGCGTGCTGACCCATCCATCCACCTATGGCATCATAGGAGCTGTCGGAGAAGACCTAGATTTCAAGACTGGGATTTAAAAGGGCGAGCAAAGATGCAGTGGCGATGGCATGTTGGGGATTCTCAAAGGACAACTGCTCCCGTTTGGTCGAGGCTAATGGTTTCTTTTCTGATTTTAGTTCTGAAAGATGGTAGGTGATCTCTGAGCGTTTGTTGAAGTACAGCAGTACCTGGTTGTTGAATCTTAGGAAGCTATGAACATCGTTGGCATTTCGCAGACTTTCCCTTTCAAGAACAGTGGCCATTTTCTGTCGGAAACCAACAACTCACAAGGTGCCGATCCTCTTACAGACCGCCGAAGCATGCTTTTGTTTGGGTATTTGGCCGCTAGAATGGATTGACCGGGATTCGAACCCGAGATCTTCTGATTGCCGGTACAGATGCTCTTCCACTGAGCTACCAGTCCATAGACGTGGTTGGTCTGCTTCTATTCTAGGCACCCCCCGACCTCAGCACCCTTTCGGCATGCCAGAGCGTCGCAGAGGTTATTCCTTGGACAGCTATCATCCATTAGCTCCAACACTCCCCCTCCAAGGGAGAACCCTCTGCATGTCACCTGTGGTGTTACCATGTTGGAAACCAACAACTCACGAGGTGCCGATCCTCTTACAGACTGTTGAAGCATGCTTTTGTTTGGGTATTTGGCCGCTAGAATGGATTGATCGGGATTCGAACCCGGGACCTTCTGATTGCCAATACAGATGCTCTTCCACTGAGCTACCAGTCCGTAGACATGGTTGGTCTGCTTACATTTTAGGCTCCCCCCGACCTCAGCACCCTTCCGGCATGCCAGAGCGTCGCAGATGTTATTCCTTGGACAGCTATCACCCATTAGCTCCAACATTTTTGATGGAGCCCTGGGGTAGTTGTTGCGCCTGACTTGGTGACCCCAGAACTTGACCTCCTCCTCGCCCCACAGGCATTAACTCGGCTTGATGTTCAGCTCGTGCTTGAGCAGGATTGACCGGACTTCTTCAACATGTCGTTTGTGTTCTTCTTTGGTGGGAGTAGATTAGGCAGTCATCGAGGAAGGAGATGACAATTTTTTTATACAGGTGACCAAGGGTGGAGTTCATGAGACTTGGAGGCAGGCCGGGGCCCTTCATAGTCTAAACGGCATGACGAGGATCTCGAAAAGGCCGTGTTGTGTTCCAATCGCTGTTTTTTTGATAGTGTTGTCTGCGACCCGGATTTGATGGTAGGTATCTCTGCCGTCTAGGAGGATGAAGTATCTAGCTTCATCAAGTCAGTAGCGCATCTCAAGGAGGTTGGGTACTGGCATCTGATCTGGCTTGGCGACAGAGTTGAACTACAATATTTGAGGCAGAATTGCAGGTCACAGTCATTATTCTTGGCGAGTACCATGGCAAGTTCCCATGTTGACCAGGAATGCCGAATTCACCCTTTCCCTCATAGCTATTGATTTGTATTCCACAAGCAGTACCCCCAGGAGACCGCCCTGCAACGGTTACAACTGCTGTATTGGCATCTTCTACTTCTTCTCCTCCAGGATCATCCTAGTCCCAGCCAGTGTTGGATGAACAACACAAACCCGGGCACAACTCTACAACTCTAGGGTGTACGCCCAGTTAGGCTAGCCTCAAGCCTCTGTCAGAGACCAGAAAGCTAGGGTCATTTCTGCCTTCTGGCAAGCATTCATCAAACTTGCGAGCATCTGGAACAAAGTCGCCATGGCCCATCATCAACAGACTTGATCCAGACAGTAAAGAGGGTCCTGAGCCTTACCTCAACCACACCGGTGTAAACTGGTGACAATCTGACAAACAAATCCAGGCTGTGGGAACATCTACCACCAGAAAGGAGCTGCTCGAGTTTGCCCAAGAGCAAAAAGACATCAAAGCTATTATAGAAGTGGCCCTCCAAAAGCTGCAAGACCAATATGGAAGCTCTTACAATCAGAACCATAAACAATCCCTCTAGGAAACAGTACTCTAGGTCCTCCTCATCAGCACTGGCATCATCACTCTGTTTGAAAATTTGCTTCGGGAAAATCTATCCCTCGATGGGTAGACCCCTCCAAGATCATCAGCCCTGACCCAACTCCCAACACCTCCAAGCTCAATATCTCAACTAGCTGCATCCATCATGTCTGGCCTTATTTCCATATTATCATCTTCAAGCGATTCACCCAACCAAGCTCCTCCATCCATCGCAACATTAACCTACTTTGCTCCGATTGACATAGAAGCAAAGACAAATGGATCATTGAGAATATTGTCAATGTCAATGGCTATAGCAGACAATGCAAGGACAGGTCCTACTTTTCAAGGTATTCCATCATTTGGCTAGGCTACCCTGACATACACAATGAATGGCTCAACATCAAAGACATGAAGGACACCAAAGCACACAAAAACTGGCTGAACGAACATGCTTGGCAGCCCCTCCTTGTTGCTCGCCCGTAAAAAAAAGACTGGTACTGCCAGCTTTGACTCCAATCACCACCTCAACCACAAAGCGCAAACAACTATTGCATCAAATCACTAGCCCAATGCGGCCTTCTACTCGACATGGACTCCGATGTACAGGTCTCATCAACACCACTTCTGCTGAGGCCATATGTACTATACAAATACAATCTGTTGTTGTTAAGATTTGTCTCTCTGTCATTTTGGGGTGAGAGTACAAGTTCGTTGCAAGAGGAAGCAGAGGAACCTGAGAACAGCCTCAACCGTTGGGCAAGAACGATGAACTCTATGACTCCCTGCATCCAGAAGCAAAAGAGTGCCAGATAACCATACAACATCATGGGTGTAGACTGAAGAGGGAGGTGGAGAACCACATCACATGACCGTAGCAATGAACCAACGTAAATCAGTGCTCCACGACAGCGGGGGGAGAAATAAAGAAAATGGAGCAAGCAAAGCCAGTGGAGGCTAGTGAGGTGGCGATCAAGGATGAAGGAGGGGGTTTCTGAAGGCGTCAGAGAGAGCGAAGGATCAACAGCAGTTATGAGAAGGAGGTGTAGGTAAGATTTACAGGAAGGAGTCTGACCAGAGGTCAGTCCTTCATTGCTATTTATAATGTAGACGGGAATTCCGAGGTGAGTGCGGGATATATCTCACTTGGAGCGGAGTCCAACCAGAGTGGGAAATTAGTGAGACGCGTGAAGTCCGTAAACAGACCAAGAACAAAGAAGGTTCCGGCCATCAACAATCTCATGACCCCATGCTCCTAGACTCCAAGTAAATCCCACTAATTCATCGCACACTATAAAGGGATAGAAGAATCAATGCCAATGAGTTATAAAGTGGCGCAATTCATCACACCCCCTGTAGATTCCATTGCAGGCAGAGAAGGCAGCAGAATCTAATTGAAGTGCACATGAGCTTGGGATTTGGAGTAGCAGAGATCTGTAGCCAACTGAGTTTGAAGTTAGTTCATTCGTGCAATGGGGACTTGGACGACTTGGAGGAAGACGATCAAGACTTCCAGGAGGGGGGGTGGCGTGATTTTATCCTGAGGATCGGGCTTAGATGGTTTTGAAAGAAGATTGGGAAGGTTCGGCGAAGGAATGCAAAAGACAGTTACATTGTATTTGGATCCACCCTCTTGAGTTGCGACACTGACTGTTTGGGGTGATCCATTCCACCCTCTTCCGTTGCAACACAGACAGTTTGATGAGGGTAATCCCTTCCGTCCTTCTTGGGTCGCAACTCGTGCGGTCATTCTCTGGGTCGTCACAATTGATACTTCCAGAGGAGTCCCATGCCGTCAAAAGCTGGCTCCCAGGTCAGCCTAGTGTCCTCTTGCTCCTTTCTGTGTCGTAACCCGTGCAGTTGTGGGGTTGTCTGGCGCCCTCGTGCATTGAAACGCTTGCAGTCATTCCTCCAGGTGCATGCCTAGCATGAACAGCCAATGTTGTTGCACTGGGGTTGTCTGGCTCCTTCTTGTGATGTATCACATGCAGGTTTGGAGTTGTCCAGCGCCTTCTGGTGTCCCAATGATGGGAGTCATGGAGTTCATCTCTCGCCCAAAGGTCCAGTTGGTGTTAAGGTTCTACATCTTCCTCTTGCAACACCCTAAGGTGACACAGAGATAACACTTAACAACAACTTACCCAATTCCGACAATACGTAAGGGCTAAGAAGAGGCGATGTTGGCAAGGCCTTTTGATATCAATAGGGGACGAGTAGAAGGCTGTTCTTGGCCTGCATTGAGAGCCGGGAGTCATTAGCCTTTTGTGGTGGAGGTTGTGGTCAGAGAAGGAGCAGCAGATGACAATGGCGTTTCTTCTGGGTGAGCATTGAGGGGGAGTCGGGGAGCATGTCTGTTAAGCCGGTCCTCGTATGCCTTGGTGTCCTTGATGTCTACGAGTTTGAGCCTTTGGTTATCCATCGGACAAGATATCCTTGAGCCTAAGCTCTGTCTCTGCATGGTCTGCCATCGTTTTCGATGTTGATGTTCTCGATGGTCTTCTTGTCTTAACCTTCCATTACAAGTGGAGCTGGGTACAATGGGTTGTCGGTGTTGTGATAGATGCAGGATTCGGTTGAGTGAGGGGCCACAATATAATGAAGTGGAAATAAGGCCAGGTGTGGTTGATGCTGCTAGATGAGATGTTGATGGTAGGTGTCCTCTTGAAGGGCCTGCGAAGGGGACGATGAGTTTTTCCGGTAGGGGAGTCTTCAGCCAAGCTGAGATGCCTGTGATTCTGAGGAGGGCTTGCTCTCCAGCTTCTGAGGGAGATATGCTTGCGGTTTCGATCCTAGGGCTGTGCTACTGGTCTTGCGCCTGTCATAGGGCTGCTTTCACGATTGCATTGTCATCTTTCAGTGCTTGGGCAAATTCGAGCAGCTGCTTTCTGGTGGTAGATTTTCACATGGCAGGGACTCTTCGTCAGACAGTCCGATGTCGAGAAAGTTGGGGACCAAGCCTTGTTTGATGAAGAATGGGGGTAGGTGGAGGTCCAAGGTAGGTGTTAGCTTGATGATGAATTCGCCAAACAGCAGGAGTCTCAACCAGTTGTCACAGCTTCGATTGAGGTAACACTGAAGAACCTTTTTCACTCTCCGAATCATTTGTTTGCACCTTCTGTCGGTCTGCTGGTGGCGAGACGTTGGAACATTGTTCTTGATGCTGGCAAGTTTTTTAAATGCTTCCCAGAAGGCTGACATGACCTTAGCTTCATGGTCAATCCCGAAGGCCTGGAAGCAGCAGACCTGGGCGTATATTGGCAAGTTGAAGAGGTCTTCCAGGGTTTGCACTGTCCATCCTGTGATTCTCAGCAAGATGTGGATCCGGGAGGAGAAGTATTCAACGGAGCAAAGGCAGCAGTTGTACAGCTTGCCATGTTGCCTGAATGATACTTTTATTGCAATGGCGTTGAATCTGATATTCACCCAGCAGATGTGAGGAACCACGAGAGGATGGAGTAAGAATTTGTGTTGTTCAGAATCTGTAAAGAGTTGACAATCTGGCCAGCTGGTGATGTCCTGCTTGATTCCAGAGAGCATGCAGGGCCAGTAGGACTTCTTGTCAATTTTCTTGATGGTCTAAGTCAGGCCCTGGTGACCATCATTATCAACTTGGTCATGGTACCGCTCCATGATATACCTATGCAAGACTGGAATCTAGAGTCGACCATCATAACATGAGAAGCCGTTTTTGAATCTATATTTGATGAGGTTGGCTTCGGTACATCATATTTGTTGCTAGCTAATCATGCCTTCATATTGAGGGCGAAGTCGTTGATAGTCATGTAGT